TGTAACAAGGAAGCAGCTGGGCTCTGGCTTTTGCTTTTCTGCCTGAGAAAGGAGAGCAATTGGATCTTCATTATGTCCTCTGTTGGCTACTTTTGATTGAATCTTATAGGGAATTTGCATGATGGAGCCACGAAGCACAGAATCAGGCCAGCGCATATTAATGCACTCCTTCCTCATTTGAGACATTAGCGGAACAGGTCAGGGGACCGACCAGCTGGGTAAGCCACCACCCTTCTCAGTGCACTGACGGGAGACAAGTTACTTAGCCAGCGAGCTTTAACCAGTGGCAGTGGCCAATGTGGCACCCACCTGTGTGGAGGACAGGGGCTGGGAGAAGCTCCAGGTGTGCCAGCTGAGTCCTTTAAGAGCACGTGGAGAGTGTCTTGAGCCCACCTGTGGTTTTCTCTGCAAGGAAAACAAAGCTTTTCGTCACTCTGAAGCACTGCTGACACCTCTCAGGAGGTCTGAGGAAGTCATGTGGTTTGGCTACCTCTGCACACCTTCGGTTTGTCTTGGTTTGCCGGGCTGACTTTCATTCAGTGCAGACTTCCTTCCAAAATGGGATAAAGATTTCCAAGAAATTTTAACCTTCAGATAGTTCATAAATATCAGTATTTGTCATTCCATAGGGCTGTTGGTGCTGAATCAAGACTGGACAGATACAAGAAAAGATTGGGGCGGTAAAGTGTAGAATCCGTCTTGATCATCGGATGACCTTTCAGGAAAGAAGGTGGGGACATTAGCTTTTCCCCCTTAGCTCTCCATTTTTTTTCTTCCCTTCTTACTTTTTGCCCTTTATTTTCATTTGAAAGGTAATATACAAGCAGGGCTGCAGACTCTGTGCCAAGTCGAATGCTGAATTCTGCAATGCTACACTGACAGAATTCCTAGAACAAAAATCATCGCCCGTGTTTAAGGACTATCTAGAAACATGGCTGTGGGGCATTGCAGAAGTGATTTGAAGACCCGTGTCTGTGTCCTGTTTGCTGCTGAACCCTTCCCCTGTGCTGGTCAGCCAGTGGGACCAGGATGCTGGCTTGTGGCCAGATTTGCTGGCTGTCAGCTCTCTCTTTCTGGCTCTGTTAATGTTGAACAAGTTACTTGAGCTTTTGACCTTCCCTGTGTTTCTATGAAATAGAGCTAATATAGCACCTGCCTATTGGTAGTACTTGCACTGTATGATAAATAAGAAGCTGTGTAAAGCACAGTGGCTGTCCTTAGAAATGACTCAGTAACTGCAGAATACTACTTACCTATTATAGTGTAAGAGGAGACTTGTTTCCACATTGGCAGGATGGAAAGTACCAGTGGAGGGACCCAGCAGTCTACGAGGCTATGCCCCTCTTGTCTGATGTGTGTATCCACTTAGTCGTGGTCTGACTAAGTCCTTCCCCTAGCCCTCGGTTCCTTCCTCGTCGTTTATTGCTCTAGGCCTGATGATGATGTTATCTCCTTCAATCATTGCAAACATGAGGTGTTTTTTCTCCATTTTTTCCAGCAATAAAACTGAGGGCTGGCCAGGCGGTGCTGGCACACACCTTTAATCCCAGCACTCGGAGGCAGAGGCAGGCGGATCTCTGTGAGTTCAAGGCCAGCCTGGTCTACAGAGTGAGTTCCAGGATAGGCACCAAAACTACACAGAGAAATTCTGTCTCGAAAAACAAACAAAACAAAACCCTGCCGGCCAAGGAGGGACATTACTTGCCAAGGCCTTGAGTCTGGAAAACCCTGGTCTTCTTGACATTCTCTGACTGCATAAAAATAGTCCCTCGTTACTTCACAGGCCTTGTAAAATGAGTTAAAACAAAAGCACTGAGAGGTACGGGCTCTGCTGCAGTCAAAACATGGTTCTCCCAACACACTCTCTTCGTCTACCAGAGGTAATATTTCCCAGCTCACCTCTTTCTCAACATCCCGTGGCCAACGTTTTCTTCCCTTTGGAAAGAACTTTGGACTGAGACCTAAGAAGCCCAGTGTGGTCTCAGATGTACTGCCTCAGTGTGTGACCTCACACTGCTCCGAGGCCTTCCTGGGGCCTGCTCCCTTTCAGAATAATGAAGAGACTGCTCTAAACCCAAGACCCTGCCTTTTATCCCCTAGGATATAAATGTCCGGTGACGTTAGACCTTGCTGAGTGGCCTGCTTGCCAGTATCTCAGCAAAACTCCACCCTTCTCCTTCACACTGAAACACCTCACACGTAAATAGAGGACTGTTGTGATGCTGTTTCAGGCATTACCCGAATCTTCTCAGAAGTGCTGGGGAAATACGCAGCATGGGAAGTGTAAACTTTTTCTAGTAACGGATCACTTGAATAGCTGTGTCTGTGCCCAGGCTGGGTTGGAGGGCCGGTCTGGAATGCCTCCTTCCATGCCGCTGTCGCCCAGCCCTCAGCCTGCACACAGTGCTAACAGGGAGTGCAGCAGACAGGTGTTCTCTAAGCCACTTACATTCTTAAGAAACCTTGCTCTTTTGAGTTGGAGACATCAGAAAATCTCTTGTAAACACACAAGAACTTAAGTTGGAAATGAAGTGTCTTTATCCTAAAAGTCGGGTCTTTTCCTCATCTCTCCATTGCATATGTGACACTGGATCTGCACATACATTCCTAAGCTGGCTTACAGAGACAAGCAGCCTAGTTCTGCCAGAAAACTAGGGACAGCGTACCGCTATTCCAAGCTTCTAACTGTCTTCTGGTGGTGTTACTTAGGAACTTGTAACAACCATGCAGAGGTCAGATACTGGTACCATTTCTTTTTTTTTTTTTTT